TGATGGGCACTAATTGTGCTCCCTTATAAGCAGATCTATTTTTCTATTCCTATGAAGCAAAATTTATTTTCAAAAATCTTCTACAAGAGGGGAATAAAACTCTTGCTGTGGTCCTCCTCTCAACATTTAGTTATATCGACGATGTTTTAGGTATTTACAATACCAGTAGTTTCTTTCATTCAAATGTCGATTCAAATATTCCAGTGAACTCGAAATAAAGGACACCACAGGGTCTGTCACAACTGTTTCATATTTAAATGTATAACTGACTATAGATGATAAAGGCCAACTAACAACTAAACTGTATAGCAAATACAACCTATCATTAGGACATATTTCATACCGATTGTTAGGCCTTTGTACTAAATTTGAGTACCGATTAATCCGTCTACCTGATCTATGCATGGGGCTCAAGGCGGGCCTGATCGGTTGACAGGGGATGCTTACTCTTCTTAGGCACCTGATTCCAACTCTGGAATTTCCAGGGGTTTAATACCTTGTTCACAGATTTGTATTGTTTGTAGACTTTTTGAAACTGATCACTGTACTTTATCTTCGCCTATTACATATATATATATATATATATATATATATATATATATATATATATATATATATATATATATATATATATATATATATATATATATATATATATATATATATATATATACAAAGTCATGAATTATTTAGAAAAGTGTCTGAAAATCAGTCATTAAAAATGACTTTAAAATGCCTTTAATATGTTACGCTATGGTTCATTTTCATAGGGTTGCCACATTTTGTTGTGGTTTGTTTGTAAACATTAGTCATTGTCATAGACAAATAGCCTGTCCATCAACACTTTTTTGTCATTTATATCATTTGAGCAGTAAAATTCATTTAAATTATTTAAAATGCAAAATAAACTCACGAAAAATCTGCTTCCATAGCCCCAGTCTTGATCCAATTAAAGAACAATTAACCGATAAACTAATTTAAAAAAGAGATTGTATGTCTGCCAGGTACACAAGCAACAAAAAACAAGAATATTTATCCAGTACCTTACCAAAACGAATGAATAAAAGTTAAGAAAAGTAATTAAAAAGCTAATAAATTAAATTTTATGAGACTGTGTAACCAATACCGTGTAGGGAATTTATTGATGCAATGGAAAAATGAAGGCATTTGCATTTTAAATACATAAATTGATCATGTTTGCACCTAAGAATCATGAACAATTGAGGATTGATATCCGATGTTATGATACACAGTAAAAGTCAGTGATAAAGGACCAAACAATTGATTTAAAGTACAGCACGTGCTCGGAGCATCTTTGGTGATGGATGCTGTCAAATACCACTAAAAAATTATTGAAATTCGTAATACATTGTTAATAGTGAATTAGTACTCAATCTGTATTCAATTTACTTTGCATTGAAATTTTAGTACTATATATGAACATATTTTAAGTAGAAAATGTAAATGATTTGTAGATTAATACAAATTATATCCTAAGAAGTATATAAATGATCAATGATGTTATAGTTATCAGTTGGGGTATATGGAGAGAATTTAGAATAAAAAATTGCTGAAAATTTTAAAACAGTTACCTGACATACTCGTATTTTAAACTAGACAGTTCTGAGACCAAAAGTACTTGAAACTATCATCAATGTTATTTATTTTTAACTTAGTTGTAGGGGCATAAATTATACCTAATAAAAAATAAAATTTTGTGATAATGCAATGTATAAGTGAATGGTTTATATATCATCAGTATCCTAGGTCATCAAAAGCAAAATGATTTTTATGTGTCCAAACCAAAAGATGAAGTGAGATTGATTATCAAAATTAACCACAAAAATAGCATCCCTGTCTCCCTGGCGATCAATCTTACAGGAATACTCAAAACAAATAAGTAATCTGACGCAACACTCTAACCCTTATTGTAATATGTCTTAATAAGATTTCCGAAAAAAAATCTTGATTGAAAGGATCCTTTCATACACTGGGAAACTTCATATATATATATATATATATATATATATATATATATATATATATATATATATATATATATATATATATATATATATATATATATATATATATATATATATATATATATTCCTTTTTCACGATATGTTATAAAAGGAATATAATTGGTACCTTTTTTCTCGATTTTAATATTCAAAGGATTGTGATCGTTTTTGCTATCTTTGTCTTTTTTCATGAAAAAACATCTCAAACTCAGACTGTTCATAATAGTAGAGCACAAAAAGGAATTAAAAGGATGAGGAATAAAGAAAGAAAGAAAATTATATCAATTATTGCATTTAAAACATTTGATACATTATTAGAGCATATCTTTGCTCGACATTTTCAATCAAACTACCATTAGCCCATTGGTGGAAAAACAAATTCGATTAATTCGTCTTCGAATATAGAAGAAAATTAAAAAAAAAAGATAGAATGTATATTTACACAAACACATGAAAAATCATAAAATTGTAACGTTGTAAATCATAACATACTTATATATTTCTATTACATATATTTTTTCTTCTTTTTTAATGAAATGAACAAGCTTCTTTTGAAAAATAACAAGTTATTTCTAAAAATGAAGACGGGAAGTGGAATAAAGTGTTCACAAAGATTGAAATCAATACTTTTGTTGGAATCTTTTATTTGCTACTTACATGATTTATCAGTAATAAAAAATATTTACAGCAAAATTCATCCGAATGATTTTATTTCAATATTAGGACGGATTCGTGAACATAATACATATTAGATTTATATGCGACTTACTGCTAAATTTTCAAATATGAAGGATTAAAGAAAAAGCATTTTAAAAAATGTTAATATGTATATAACATTTTCATATTGTTAAATGAACAGATCCATATTACATGTCAAATACCTTTCTGTATCGAGCCTCTGAATTTTTTAAATTATTAGATTCTGCAAATACGAAGGTCATTAAAAAAAGACGTAGACTTCTGTCATAACTTTTCTAAGCATCATTTTATAATGAAATTTGATAGACATATTTTAACAATAAATTCAAATAAGTTGAATTAAAATCAGTGAATATATCATGATATTTAGGAAAACTATCTCAAATTTAACATATGGAAAATGGGGTCACGGAGCACGGTCAAAGTTTAGTAATTCACTAACAATACACTTCACTAACAATACGTCTATCGTCTTACCTCTAATAAATGGCGCTAAAACGAAATAGAATCTAAATGCTCAAATTCGGTATTGTTATATAATTTCATATGCCATATTATAATATAATACATTGCTTCGTTTAAAAAAAAATCAATTTCTAAAGACAGGTAGACCTCATTTAAAAACAAGAAGAAAAAGATCACGTCGAGGGACGTCACGGAGCAGCGAGTAGCGATAAAATTTGCTTTTTACTCTTGAAACCTCTAAAACAAACTCTGCAATGCTGGAGGAACCCAGGAAATGTTAAAAATGAGCCGTGCATTTGTATGTAAATGGAAAGGACAGTTTTTGAATGGTATAAACTTTGAATCGTATAATGGACAGACTGCAAAGAAACAGATTATAGTTTAAAATCTGGTCAAAAGAGTCACTAACGTCATCGAAAATGATGTGTGCTTCTTGTAAAAGCAGAGCTACGAAGCAACGAATTTGTAAATACTGACAAACTAACTTTGTCTACTCGAGTAATTGTTAGCAAAGTAAGAGTCACGTGTTATGGAGATGTTTTTATGAATGGGTAAGGCGCCTCAGTCCCTTTATGAAATGAAGAGGAAAGGTAATTTTGAAAAAAAAGGTTCAGAGCATTGTTTTTGGCGTTACAGTGTTATTAAGCGTGCTCCGTGGTGACAAAACATATTGATTTTAAAATTGAATAACATGCGTTCCATTTAATCAAATGAAACGAAACTTCTCACATCGACAAAATAAATATTTTTTACATTTGTAAGTGTGTTGTTAAATTTTGTACAAATAATATGACGAAGAGGGGTATTGTCTACGTATTTTTTTGAATAACCCTCCTATGTATTTTATAATTTCAATTCAATGAATTTGGCACTAGTATAAAGGTGTGCAATTACAAAAACCACACCGTTCTCACACAAGGTTGTCATGGCAATGTCCAGGTATGTTCTGTAAAATGAGTGGTCAAGAGAGATCAAGAAAAATGACCCGTAAAATGTCGACCTTTACAACTTAAAAAAAAGCAAGTACAAGACAATATAATATATCGATAAATAATTTTGCACAGTGAAATATATGACCATATGCAGATCGAGTTTATAAACGAATATCACGCTGCACATGTCTTTGACCTTAGATAATTTGAACCATCGTCCTTTTTTCTCCATTATCGGATTTGGAATCCCTCTAAGTAGAAATTTCTTTGTAAAAGTCCACCTCAGTATTCGCCACTCCTTCCATCTAACGCCAACAAAAATAAATATACATCGCTTTAAGTATATCAAACAGAGATTAATATACGTATATATAATCTTAAATACTAGGAGCGTCATTCTCGTGCATTCGTTCGAACTAATTTAATTTTAAGTTAGTATTAAAGAAGCTAAATTATAAATGCAAAGGATTATCTATTTACAAATTAAAATATTTTCATTTTTATTTAGCAAAGCATTCCAAGCCTCCAGCAGTTGAAACCTGTTCTACAGCATTTTTTAAATTCGTAATCTGAGAAAGTGTGTGATTTACATCTATAAAACATGATAGGAAAACAAATATATAATTCTGTATGTGCGATTAACATTTCTGTGTCAAAATTTTACAAATTGTTAACTCACCAACTGTTTCATCACATTTTTGAGTTCGTCATCCGATTTTTCTGTATTCCAGAAGAGATAGACACCTTTTCCTGAAGAAACATGTTAATATTCAGATTAAGGTGTGTTTAAGTAAAATCAAATTTATATATTGAGAAAGTTAGGTCACTTACGTAATTGGAAAATGCATGCATTCATACCTTATACGTATGACTCATAATGTCAAAGGTGTGTTTCTGATAAGCTCAGAACTGGATCGCTTTCGGAACTTTCCGTGGGACGTCCATTTTCATTTCCATTGCACATGTTCTCTGTAACTTCCTTTCTCTGCTTTGCACCCCCGTTTCGGACAGTTGAATATTCATACTTTAATGTATTTGTAAGGTTAAGTTTCAGACCACCAATCAATGGCCGCATGAGCTTTTTGAACTCTTTTCTGAAAACTTTACCAGTTAAAAGATAAATATAAAAGTTTCCTGCGTAATGAGTTAAACCTAATTCTTCAATTATGGTTTTTGCCCAGTAATATTGAAAATGGACCTTCCATGTATCGGTTATGGTTGGTAAAATACTAACATCACCTGGGGGAAAAGTATAGTACAAAGTTACAACGATTGTCACGGGAAGTGTTGTAAATATTTGGTAAAACGAAACCGCCAATAACATAACTGTCGTTGCAGAATTTCGATGAGTGCGGGTATGTAAAGTATTCTTTTCAAATTTTGAAAGTCTTTGTGCTTCTTTTATAACAAGAATGTTAAAAGATAGAATGCACAACGGGACCACCAGAAACACAAACGCTTCCACACACCAGGTCCATATTGCCCAGAATGATTTAGTGCCGTTTTCAATCACTGAATGACGAAGAAGGCAAGTTTTGTTGTCTGAGTCATAAGACCAAAAGAAGCCTTGAATGCTATTAATGCATAAACAACCAAGGGTTGTAGAAATAATTACAATTTTTGCATTTTTTGTTGTGCACCACGCTTCCCTTTTAAAAGGGTGACAAATACTTATGTATCTCTCAATAGTAAAAGACAACACGAGGATCGGAGAGAGATACTGAGAGGTCAAGAAAATAATTGGGTAAAATTCACAAACAAATGGTAAATCCAGACACTTTACCTCCCACTTTTCATTGAGTTCATATATCACTTGCAGTGACAAAAACAAAAGATCCACAAGTGCCAGTGCAGCAAGGTAATATCCAGAGGAGTTCCGCATGCGTCGTTGAAGCCAAATGATGAGAGAAAATAAGTTTCCAGGAAATCCTATGACATATGTATATGGGGTGACATATTTGTCGACTTTCACCGCCCCAGGACAGAAGGTCGAATATATAGTGTTGTAGTCATAAGCCAAAACAGTAGAGGACTCATTGTAAAGAGGGGTGGTAAGGTTGTCTTCAATGGACGCATTCACTGACATGATGGTCTACAAAAGAAAACAGGAAAGTGAGAAACAGAGCCGGTATTAACTGTTGTTATATTTTACAGACGATGTTTCACACCAATAAAATATGCTTGTTTGACAGTTAAAAATAACTGGTGATGACGTTTTTAGGATGACATCAAAATGTGTTGGAATTAAAAAATTGAAAGTGTCCTAAGAATCAAAAATGATTGCAAATCAAAATGTTATGTGAAGTCAAAAAGTCGTTTTCGAAGAGCATTTTATATACTTTGTTAATTTACATATGATATGTTAGCAATGGTTTGTTTGGTTGGTTGGTTCAACTCGGTTGTTTAACGTCCCTTCGAGAATTTTTCACTCATATTGAGACGTCACCACTTGCCACTGGAGGACTGCAAATTTAGACCTGTACTCGGCACTAACAGCCTTTAAGCAGTGAAGGGATCTTTTTCGTGCCAGCACTTACTGCGACAGGGGACCTCGGATTATAGGTCTCATCCGAAGACTTCAACCTTAAATGCAAGAATTTGTGACCATTTGTCTTTAAAAAATGATACCGTCGTACAAAACCAATTTAGAGTTTGTAATAATTATTATGAAGTTTGATCTTTCATTGTGTGTTTTTTTTGTAAAATAATGATAATTTCCAAGGCTTATTATTATTTTAATACAATAAAACTATTCATATAGGGTACTTGATAGAAATATTGGCGTATACGCAATTATATACACATTTTTTCGTTGTTCATTTACATATACATATATCAGTACATGTAATTAACTGACAACAATATTTTCAAATGTGCTTTTCAAGAATTATAATTTATCCTTACTGGATAATCGGCAAGGAAGATTAAAAACTTCCCTTCCTTCAGTGATTCATTCAAGTCAAGTCTACGAAAGCTGCTAAATGCAATAGTTTCAGACAAATGGATCAAGGATCTAAATCATTTTCAAATTAAATTTATGCAGTTGAAAGAAACCCACTAATTCTTGGAAAATGTTGTCTGAGAAAAGAACTGATTTCCATTTTTTCATTAATCAGAGAGCTAGAAAAAAGCCTTTGGCAAAATAAGGCTATTTGTCGAATGGCCATGATTTAGCAATGAATTTTTGTTCTTTGCAATTTCCCAAAGATGGGTGAATTTTTTTTACTAGTCCTGTAGCAAAAAAGTGGGCTCAATAATAATCATACACTTAAAATGAACAGTTTTGCTACAAAAACGATGTGACATCCAGCAAAGGGTTTAGATAATTATTGGCGATGGCATAAAACTATAAATAACTCCCCCCCATCCCCCCCCCCCGAAAATATATGGGCCATCCATTTTTTAAAGGAACAAAACATGTCTTCATTTCTTGTCTTAATGGGGTAAAAAAACAAATAGACTAATTTTTGTAAAGGAGTTGATTATCAGAAAAGAAGACAATCATTGACGGACCCCATTTTCACTATCTCTTATTCTATTACAGGCGTTATATTTTAAAGAATGTACATATTTATTCGTCAATATTTCGTGTCTACATTATCTTTTATTGTAGCTCAATTGAAACGTAAATCCATTCTTTTTCATAAATAAGCTAATCCAAGAATTAAAAAATAAAGGTTAACAACGCCGCTTTCGTAGAAATTCAAAGAAAAGAAAAAGATATAAATGACATAAAAATGGAGTAATTTTTCTAGAACATGTAAATCTACATTATTTAATAAAACAAACTTACAGTTTAGCGACCTAATCATTCACATAGGCAAATTTCAGAAAGCAATTCAAGAAATATATGAATGAACTTTAAATATCCATACCGGTTAAACGTCACATTTTTTAAGGTATCAATACGTTTGTGGTCATATGTTTTCGCACATTAACAGCTGATCGGCACTCTGAAAGGTTTTCTATTGTTTCCGAGTTAATGGCTTTTGATAACTGACATCAGGTAACATGTACACATCCATTAGAATTCTATGTAGGGTAAGTAATCATTCATTGATAGCAAGGCCAAAATGAAAGAGTTTGCATAACTCCTTTGTTCACAAAACGAGAAGGCGTTATTTCCAATGCAGAATATCTTCAGACTTTGATATTATACATCCTATTTTCTGTTCTGAAAAATGCAGTTAAAGCAAAGCAAAGATTCTTGCTATCACAGCTTTTAAGTGACGATTCCTAATTAACACAATTCTAGAGGTATGCTGATACATGTTTCCTGTGGCAACCCACCAGTATTGTTTCTGTATTTATTATTTGGCTGACCATCTGACCCCTGATGCCAAGATAAAGTGTTCCTTATTGTTTTGTTTTCTATTTAATACACTCTGCTATGCTCTACTCTTCTCAGATTAACAAGAATCTTTTCTTTCAAAAAATAAACGTAAAGCTATTGCTTGTACTCACACTCTGACGCACGGTTAATCCCTATTTTTTGTTATGAGTCTCTACTTATCACCCTTTATAATAATATTTTTGTGTACATGATATCATTACTTCCGCGGATGTAAACACGGGAGAATTGATCGCAGTAATGCCCTGTTACTGCCATGACAAGGAGTACGTCAAAGGGTCGAGAATGCACTGCAGTTCATGTGTTTGGAATCACAATTTATAATTTTACTCCATTCTCATTCTTGCATTGTTCAAAAATCAAAAACACATTTTTCATACGTAATAAACTATCATAGTTTCTAGTCATGGCATTTTAATGTCAGGTGTTCAAACAAAAATTATTTTCGTCGTCTTCTTCAACTACGTAGGTCCGAATTATTATTACGTTTGTTATAGAAAAAAATCAAAGTTTTAAGTCTATGTAGGTTATTCCGTCTGATAATTAGTCCCCTAACTTTAAAACCGGAGAGTCTATAGGTTTCCCTTTCATTTGTCCATGTGTCGGTCTGTCCAACTTGGTTTTCCACACCTTTTCCGTAAACACTTGCAGATATGAGCTGTTTTGGTAGGTGAGTCTTCTTTGATGAGTTATAGGTTTGCTTTTCGTAACGCTTTATTGATTTTTAAAAGCATTACGGCCTTTAAAATTTTTTTGGAAGAAACAGATTACACTTAATGATGGGGGACTAGTATTTTTTATGCAATACTCTCAGAATGCTTGTTAGTCCCCTACCGGTGAAACCGAAGGGAACTATAGGTTTCCTCGTCTGTCTATCTGCCTGTCCGTCCGTTTGTCTCTCCGTCTGTCTGGCATTATGTCCCACTTGGTTTTCGCACGTTTTTCTAAACGCTTGCAGATATTGACCTGAATTTTAATATGTGATTGTATCTTGATAGTTTGCATTTCGATCCGCTTCGATGATTTTTGACGGAATTTATTTACGGTCTATTTCATTTTTAAGGGTTTTCTGGACCTGTTTTCCTAAATGCTTGCAGATTTCGAGCTGATTTTTGTTACGTGACTGAACCTTGAGGAGTTACAGAGTAAGTTTACATTTCGTTCAGCTTCAATGATTAGGGAATTATGGCCTTTTTGAATATTTAAGAGGAACCAGATTTCCCTCTTGGTTTTTGTTCTTTTTTCCTAAAAGCTTGCATTTACTGCGCTGATTTTTGGTATGTAAGTCTACCTGATTACATGAAAATCAAATTTTCTTTTCGTTCCCCTTCAATGATTTTTGATGGAATTATGGCCTTTTTAATTTTTGAGGGGAACCAGATTACATTTGGTAGGGGGCTAGTATTGCTTATGCAATACTCTCAGAATGCTTATTAATTCAACTTTAAGGCCACTGCATGTTGAGAGAACAAAAGTAAAACTGTTTACTATTTTATATACTACATATGTGCAACACACACTACCGAAGAATTTGATTTTAGGACAAAGATCTCACTCCATTCACTGTTGAAGTTTCCAAGTTTAAGTAAGCGCGATATTTTTCTCATGTGATGTCGCCGTTCTTTTGTTTTTAGTTGGAATTTATTCTCTATTCAGAGAATGTATTATAGAATATCGAATCGTTATTGTTCAAGTTTTAGAACAGGCTTGATCCATTTTCCAATATATGGTCAGGATTATTAACCATAGAATTTGCGAAAATAAACGAGATTTACTAATGATATTCTTGTTTATCAACTTATTTATCAATTGCTTGCCTCGTTTTAGCAATTGTTCGTACGTAAAGTATGCTCTACTGAGAGATATAAACCCCATATGCAGGTGATAAGGGTATATTGCTACATGAATAAGGGAGGTTGCCGAAAGAAAAGTTGAAGTCATCACGTTTGTAATAAAGGTTTGTTGTTAGGTTACCATCAACGTCTTTTCCTACTTAAAACATCCAAATATGAAACAGACGTGTCAGACTCTGGTATCTTTTATTTTGAGTTCAAAGGGATATATCGAATCAACGTTAGAATGAAAATGAATATTGTTATTTAATTAAAACGTCATCGATAGATCTAAATGTTGAATTGAAGGCCACATCAAGAGACTTCTTTTCATGTAGAAGTTTCTGAATAAATTCTGTCTCATATGAATACAAAAATAGGTCTGCTAATAACGGGACGCAATTAGTACATATGGGAATCCGACAGATTGTTGAAAGACTTGATCTCCAAAAACTACATAGATATTGTCAATCAGAAACTCAAGCATCTTTTAAATATCAACTTCGGATTACCTGTGTGAACAATCAAACAGAATGTTTTTTAACAAGATAAGTTTGCAAATGACCAATGGCAAGAAAAGTAAATTTACGAGTTCCATTTTTTATTGAAAAAACAGCTGTCTATGATATTAAAAAGCCTGGACTCGTGGGGAATGGTTGTATGAAAAAGTCGTACGTTTTGATATGATTGATTTTGGTAAAATTTTGTGATTTCACATTTTCAAAAAGTTCCTTGGAGTTTTTAAGTATCCACATCTGATCTATACAACTTCTCGAATATATTGTTGTACAATATTCTTTACTGTTGTTAATTCTTCACTGTTTTTGTGAGGAGTAAAGAAAGAGGCTTGGTAGAACATTTATTGGAACCCACTGTGTATCTTTGTTTGTAAGGATTTTTAGG